TATATATAATTTCTTTTTAAAATACAAGTAGTTTAAGTACTTTAATTCAACCTGGTACCAAGCTTTTTGAATTCACTGTACGGCACAGCTCAGAGAGGGGGCGGGAGAAGCAGGACAAGGATCCAAAAAGTAGTAGTACTTATGTGCCCTTAGATTGAATGGCAATGCACAGTAAGGTGCGTATACTACACATACAGTATGCCTAGATTGTGGTGGCAATAATACACAGGTAACACATGGGAATTTGGGCTAATAAAATTAGAAGCACAGCTTTTTATACAGGAATTATATATGTGATCGAATTGCCAAAAATGCAGAAGCTTTATAATTAGGTAATATATAGATCACAAATCTATTTCCTGACAGCAGATTGTAGGAGTGTTGTCTTGGGTCAGTTGCATCCAGATTCCGGCACTGTATGGTACATGTACCCCCATCTATCATCCTGATTGTCTGGCTATAACGCTATCAGGGCATCAGTACTTCAGAACGGTCTATCATCCAGCAGATTGACGCTTTACTCCCTCTCCTGCACTAATCATGTTATCTTTCCATAGGCTCTGCAACATTTTACTACCTGCTAGGCCCACGTTTGAAATAACAAATTAGTGTCGGGGATACATGACAGCTTTATCTATATCAAGCTTCTGAGCAGTGAACACCAAGAATTTGGACAATTGATTAAAATAACTCCATGAAGAGTTCACCGCACCCTAAACTAGTATCTCAAGTAGGGTTGCCACCTTTTCTTAAAGCGAAACCCGAACACTCTAGCGACACAAGGACATATTTTTTTGGGAGAATGAGTCGCAGCTTATTCATATGTAAAAGGCACCACCCATTAATATGTAAATATCACAGTTGAGACTATTTTTAGTGGGGGGCCAGTAGCATCTATCTTAATTTTGGTTGCCCCTGTCTACCTGACACCTTGTGTCCGGGTTTCTGCTGCCATGAAACCCGGACACAGCATTCAAAACCCGAACTGTCCAGGTGAATCCTGGACAGGTGGCAACCCTAATCTCAAGTATATGTATAGTCAAAAAGGATATTTTTGTAAGTTTTGAACAGAGAAGTAATGAAACCCCTATTAGGTTATTTTCTTTTTTGCATGCGTCCTGCAGTGGAGACTTCCTTGTTGCGTCTCCAAGACAGGAAGAGATAGGAAATCTCCCCAAAATGAGGGAATCTCGATCCTAACAGTTGTCACAATGGCAATTTTTCCTTTTGGAACATCTCCTTTGACTTCTTGCTCTCATAACAACTCTAAACCCCTCTGCTATATGCCTCACAAGCAGCAGCATCCTGAAGTTCCTACGCAAACACTAACTTTCTGAAAGCCAGTATTTGCATAGGAAAGAACATGGCAACATGCAGGGGTGTCCCTAACCTTTTTGCCACCCAAGGTCGGTGGGGGGTGCTGGTGGTGCATGCTAACTTCCTCATGCGGCTCTGGCCGGCAACCTGTCCAACTGACATCACTTGTTCCCAGGAGCTGGGTGGGCCGCTGGCCACAGCTGGATGGGGAGATGTGTATTCCCCCTACACATCCCCCCTCCCAGATCTTAACAACCAGGACGCTCTGGCCAGAACCGGGGCAACCATGCCACTCTGATTGCCTCCCCCCCCCACATGGCCCAATAGATGCTGCCTGAGGTAACAGCCTCAGGCTGCCTCATTATAGAGATGACCCTGGCAACATGTTCCAGTGCTGGGATCTGTGATAGGTTAGTCAGCCAGTGAGCATTGCATTGTAAAATGGTAGAGGGAATGAGCACAGAGTCTATTGTTTTCAGTTAGCCGGACCTGACCCATAGACTTACAGACTTAGAGAGGAGCAGTACTGTACAGAGCCTGCATATATAATATGACTGCCTGTAACAAATATGACTACACAAATGTATATGAATGGCGTAGTGGTTAGAACTTCTGCGTTGCAGCAATAAGGGGCCCCATAGGTTTCCTCTGGGAACTCCAGTTTCCACTCACACTCCAAAGACATGCTGATAGGTTAATTGGCTCCTGTCTAAATCTGCCCTGTATGCCTGCATGTGAGATAAGGGACTTTAGATGGTAAGCTCCTTGAGGGCATGAACTGATGTGAATTTTGCAACTATGTAATGCTCTGTGTAAATTATTGGTGCTACATAAATACCAGTAATAAATAAATACAGTAATACCTTGGTTTACGAGCATAATTTGTTCCGGAAGCATGCTTGTAATCCAGAGTGCTTGTATGTCAAAGCGAATTTCCCCATAGGAAATAATGGAAATTCAGATGAATCGTTCCACAACCCCAAAATATTCATATAAAAATGATTACAATACAGTACTGTAATATAATGAAAAATAAACCTTTGTGGCTGGTGTGAGGGAGACAAGAGAGAGGAGGATTATTGTGCAGGACGACTTTCACTATCACTAGCGGAATCACTGCTAGCTCTTGGCTCAATGGAATCTTTATCATTACGTGAAACCTTACGAGGAATCTATCCAATTACACTTGCTACTGTCTCCTTTTGAGGATTTCGCGCAAATGTAACATTGCATTGTTGTTAAACAGATTAATCGCTCGCACTGCTACAGCCTTATTCGGGTGGTGCTTTTCTACAACCTGCTCGTATTGCAAGACATCGCTCGTATATGAAAGCAACATTTTTCAGAAATGTTTGCTTGTCTTGCTGAACACTCTCAAACCAAGTTACTTGTAAACCAAGGTATTACTGTACTGTACATAGATACCAACCATACATGGATGTTTATAAAACATAAATGTAATATAGGTTTTCTGATTATGTTTATCCGCACTCGATTTGTTCTTCAGGTTGCTAATCTTGGTGCTAAAATGGTGCAGTGACAGCAAGTTTGGTTTACCGGTGAGCAAATTCCTTAGCGGGTTTTATAGACAGGAAGGGTCTGTTAGGATGACCCTGATTCTCATTTAAGAATATCTGTTAGATCCTACATCATACATCTGCATGTTAACAGATGTTGTGCCAACAAATCTTTACGCTGCCAAAGGTCCACACAATATATATAGAACAGATACTGAAATATCACACTGCCTTCCAAACTTACTGTTCTCAGGTGGTGGTCTGCACACGTAGGGAATGAGGTTTATAAATTACAGATTTCGACTAACTGAAGCTTGTTCTCAGCGATGATGTA